GTTGTTGACCTGTTCAGATCACCTGCTGTCTGGTCATAACTTGATGAACTCGCCATTTGTTTGTCCGTTCTCGATGTTATGCTAGTATTGCTGTGCTCCTTTGATCAGAACCTTGTTGTTATAGGACCAATAATTACTTGAGAGCTGAAAGGTCAACTAATACATACTAATCACACCATTAAGGATATTACGCTATTACTAGGACGTGTAAATATAGAAACCTTATAAGATAGTATAATTCAAAGAGTGAGTGAGAGAGTTAATTATCATTTTTTATCATACAAATAAGGCCATCTTCTTATTTCCCATGAGGTAGATTAATGACACTGTGGAGTTTGTACTACAAACATCCTTCAAACATTGTCAAGTTTGATCGATATCTCAGACAACATGACTGGTATGTGACCGGGACAGAAACCATGTTCATTTCCAAGGAAACATATGACACCCCCCAACAAGGCGACACACATGACCACCCCCCTCCAACAAGGCGACATACATAACCCAACCCCCAACAAGGCGACACACATGACACCCCACCCCCACCCCCAACAAGGCGACACACATGACAACCCCCTTCCCAACAAGGCGACACATAACTCAACCCCCCAACAAGGCGACACACGTGACCCCCCATCCCCCCACCCCCAACAAGGCGACACATAACTCAACCCCCAACAAGGCGACACACGTGACCCCCCCTCCCCCCACCCCCAACAAGGCGACACACATGACCCCCCAACCCCCAACAAGGCGACACACATGACACCCCCCCCCCGAACAAGGCGACACACATGACACCCCCCAACAAGGCGACACACATGACCCAAACCCCCCCAACTTTCTACGATTAATCATCGTAAGTTCATACTGTTGTTAACTGTGAGGCAAAATTATCGATTCATTACCTTAATCCACATCATTACAAAAACAAACGTAAACAAAAAATAATAATAATGACATATTCTATACGAGACGACAACACAACATTTATTTGTCATGTCCTGGTCACTTCTGCCTTTCGACCAGCATGTCAGTTGTTGTTAACTGTGAGGCAAACTTATCGATTCGTTACCTTAAATCACGACATCAATAAAAAGCAAATAAAACAAACAAAAACTAATAATAATGACATACTTAATATGATGACAACACAACTTTTAATGGAATAGGTATCAATAAAATCAATTTTGAAAACAATCGAGGTCACATCGAAACAAAAATGATTTCTATTTTGACACTTACTTCTGAGTACAAAAAATACTGTTCATTTCATGAATAATATGTTATGATATTCTCTTTGGAATCGTGCCTCTGAAAATGTTAAGCTTAATGACAGGGGATATAATGAGTTAATTGTCGTTATGATGTTCTTCAGATTTTCATGGGACTTTTTATAACTCTTTCCTTTGTTCATATTTTGCATTAAATTTACCGAATTTGCATTTGGATAATAATTGTGTTGACATGTTGTATTTTCCTGTTTTCGAAAAGATCGGATATTTTATTATTGTCTCGTTAAGTTACAAATGACAAGTTGGTGATTTAATGATTGCTAGTTGGCTTTCTACTCCATATCAGTAGACCAGGAGACGTTCCTATAGTTTCTGTGTAAACATCTAGATGTGTTTATCCCCACAAGCCAACAAGATGTTGCCCAGAAAACACACAAGGAAATCACACAATAAAATACAAAGATAGAATGAGATACCTGAATGAAAATTGTATAAAACAGAAATTTCATCCTTTAAGGATCTGTCAGTAATGGTAATGTCTTCCATTGCTGAAACCTTGGAGTGCGGCCAACCGGAAAAAAAATATCAATATTCAAAATTGGATTGGGAAGGTGTATGTCAATATATTTACTCTCAATGCTGAACAATTTCAAAGAACATCAAGTATACCGTTACCAGGGGTATGGAATATTAGTGTTGATATTATACAGGCTGGAATAGAGAATACCAGGTTCATCCCAGACCTGCAAAGGATATAATGTAGACTCCAATCAATTTTCTGACCTTTACAAGCATTTCTACGAATGGCTAATTTGATAACACCCCAAGATTTTCAGATAAGATCTAAGAGTTACGCTGTAACATTTCTATATTCACTAAAAGCCATTGATTCATTTTGAATGGTGAGTTGAATTGAATCTTTATTTTTAGATAAAAATGAAGAGTGATTTATGTCAAAGTTCGAAAACACACATCTTTATTCAACATAGCATAAGTATTTTGCAACCTTAATGTCACTATGACTGGACGAAAGTGCCTACAACTTTTATCCTGCTCATAAGAGATTGATAAAACAGATCGCTTGTTCAGGAAATGAAGATTTGATGAAGATGAAGAACAATTGCTGTGAATGTGATTACAGGTATAATCATTTTGGAAAAGTGGTATATATACTAGATAACGTCGACATTTTCGTATTTGCTCACTAGTATTGATTAGTTTTGATGCTATATTTCCTCGGATCTGTCTTTGAGAACAGGAATTTATTCAATCCAATCCAAGCTCTAGATTCATGCAACATTTGTTGTGTCGTCGATTATCGTTGAATGTACTGATAATTCTGGTCTCAATAACTGATTGTGAATTTCAGTTTCGACTCCAATGCTTAAATTCTTTATTATTTAGTCCCATGCCTCACATCAATGACCTAACATGGAACCTCCTGATCTTTTCTCTTTTTTTCCAGTAGATGTTGTGTAATTTATGTTCAAAGGTATATAATTATTCATCAGCATAATACTTGTAGAATATTTAAAGATATGCGCGAGTGGAAGAAAAAATGATTTTGAAAAAAAGGAGAACAAAATAGGTAAGACTAGGTATGTTACATGAGAGCAGAAAACTCGAATCCAAAATCGGATGCATAAAAACGTTGTCAAGCACATTCTCCATGTGCTGTCGACGTATACAATTCCGTTCATAACTTCCCAGAAAACGAAGTGCTGAAGGGGCGTCATGACCGTTCATAACTTGCCAGAAAACGAAATGCTGAAGGGGCGTGATGACGTCAAGCCTGCAGCTACTCAACAATACCTCTATGTGCAAAGCCCTAGAAGTGTGTTTCGATTACCCTCTCATGAGACTTGTCTGTTTCAAGAGGATTTCCTAGAGACAGCAAACTAGGGGGTAAAGGAAACCTACACTATTTCATGCCAATTAGATTTCATATATAGCGCAATGTCTGCATGGTCGTACATATCACAAATCACGTGATTGTATATCGCACGTTCACGTGTTATGTTTTCCTTTATCACGTGAAGCTTGAGTGTGCATTGATTTGTGATGTTTTTCATTCAGTCTGCTCTTTGATATCATCTTTATTAGTTACGATTGAATTGTTAGTCAATACCAATTAAAAGTTTTTATCATGGAAATAAAAAAAATAAAGATTGCAAAAATCTAAAGTAAATGTAGGCAGATTAATGAAGCAAAACACCTGGGATACAGAATGATGTTTTTACGATATTTTCTGACATATCACACGTAATTATTCGTCACCAAATGGATAGGATAATTAATCTATGTATCGACATTCTGTCATATCGATCATCCACACTCAAATTTCTGGCCGATATGACGTTAGATGGAGATACCATTACGCTAATATTTAACAAATTGTTTCCGATCATGTCGTAGTTAATGATCAGATCAGAGGTTCACACGTTGATGAGTGCACTTGACCCTTAGGTGTACTGCGACTGTCCTATCTTGAAGGAGGTTCAGATCTCCAGTACAAATCATGATGAATGTACATTGTGTTCCACGACCAATAAGAGAACAACATAGATGATTAAATCTAACACTCGTTTGATAAAAATGTATATTGATATAATCCAATGATTACACATTTAAGTCGAGGTGTTTGCGGTTTAGGCACGTGCTGTATGTTGTATGGTTTTTATGATTCAATTTGCTGTTTCATGTAGTGGCGATTCTTAGCTGATGGTTATAGAGACCATGCTCGCAATACATATATATATATATTTTAATCCAAAGTTAATATGGGTGTTATTGAGATAGCGTCATACAATACAACCAACAAACTAATATAGAGGTCACGTGGAGATAAATTTAGAACATGTCTTTTATAAACGCTTCACAAATCAACATAGTTATATGGAAGCGAATGAAAGCGATGTTGTGCTAAATCAACTGTATGTTCAGCCTTTCCGACACGTTTAATGCTGTCGGCATTTCTTAAAGCTAACAATGGTTTTGATAATTGAATTTTCTTCTGTATTTAATTCGATTTCGTGGTCGAAATGTTCAGGTAAGCAATGCGTTATAAATTTGTCTGGTAAAAATGACTCTCGTGAGGTAAGGTTTCCTGGAAGTGAAATGCTGGTGTGAAGCTTTTTAATATTATGTTATATACGGACCCTGATTTTCACTAAGCGATTTTAAATTCGACAAAATATTTCTGTTGATATAGCAACCTTTTGGGATTATTCTCGAGAGTTTCTTTAAATGTCTTACACAACTGATTTTTGTTTTTGTTTTTGTGGATTTTTTAAAAAAAAAAATTAATTTTTTGTTTTTTTGTTTTTTGAGATTTCGATTATAATCTAACCTTCAGGAACAACCCTAGGTATAAAGTAATTTATCATTATAAACTTGCGAATGATATGACGGAAGAAATGCATGACACCATTTTTTTTTAACTGTCTAGTCCTGCGGCAAGAGCAGCTGCGTGCTTCGTACAATTTCAATACTATCGGATGTGTCTTTTGTTGCTGTTTTTAAAAGTTTTTTAACTTGTGAAAAAAGAACTAGTGCAAGGAGGTTCATACATGCATTGATAATCTGGGTCAACCCTCTCTATGATCATTAAAGTTAGGAAAATGAATGTCGAACACATCTAACTTCGCATTCGGAAATCGAATATCCCTATATCAGATCATCATTTAAAACATATACAAAACTAGTCATACATGAAGGCAATATTTAAGTCGGTAATTTACTGTTATTGTGTTTGTGTCATTACAGCTAACGACAGAACAGTGCAGATACCGGACTGTCTACAGTTTAACGTAACTACAAACGCTTGTAGAGGCTATTGTGTATCTTACGCCATTCCGTCCTCGCCGAGGACCCGACTAATAAATCCTAGCCATATCATCACCTCTCGCTCGGAGTGCTGCAGTATAGAAGAAACCTATGATGTAAGCTGCCTTCCATTTTGTTTCGATGTTTTACATATCCATGTCCCTGTCTCTGCACATCGAATGCTGGTCTTTGTATATACATATATTTGTTTCCTTTTCAATTTGACCGATGTTACATAAAAGGTATCTATCGTTACTCAATAAAGCTATGTCTTAACTCTACAAAACCAAGAAATCTTAAGTGTTCAGACTAAAACTTCAAAACTTAAGAGACAATTTTGTATGTGATTTATCAACACAAAGGATATTATACGAATAGTTGATAGTGGAAAGAAAACAAAAACAAAACACAACCAAAGAAAAAACAAAAAAACAAAGGCACCCCCTCCCAACAAAAATGGAGGGTGGAATGCCAAATCCATGTATGTTTGAATGACAGCAAGAAACAAAATTGCAAAAACAGAGTTTATGATAATTGTGAAAAAAGCTGTAGAATGGACAGCATCTCGCTAGAGGAAGAATAGGATCAATTTTACGGAAGCTGAAGCAGATAGCTATATATACAGGATGTTGACGTGTTTACACCACAAGAATGTCATAAACGAGGCTATATCCTTATATAAAGTACATTTCCCGTCATCAGTGAGGTTATTACAATCTAGTGTTGATCACGATGGCGTTGAAGGTCTTCCCAGTAAAGCTCAAGAAACCTCGATATTATAGGAGCGGTCCAACAAGCCGTCCATAATAGTTAAACACTTAAGTAGGCTATACTGATTTGCTCTAGACAATTTACAGCAGTCGTTAAATTCATCCGATTTATCGTTATAGACAATTTATCTATAAATAGTATCACGACTATCATTTAAAAATGTGTTGAAAAAAGTTCAATCGATGTTCAATAAAATACCTGTATTTCTTGTAACATTCACACATTAAATTTGATGACAGCAGCACGCGCTTTACTCAGTGTAAATAATGAATTGTCTGTAGCGAAGGGTAAAGTTTGGTCTCTTTTCTTGTCTCCATCACTACAAGTTATGCCACGTGCCAAAACCAATCTTACCACGTGCCAAACAAGGATAAATACACCATTTGCTAAATAGCGGAAGTCGTTACTTGGCAAGGAACAGGAAGTATCGCATTAACTCAGCTAAAATAGAAGTTCCTCACTCTAGATTTGGAAAACAAATCCTAAAATAAGTAAATTTGAAAAGGAAAGTTATAGAGTGATAATGATAGTATATATGAGATTGTTATTTTACAGAGAGAAAAAGGACGCTTCATTTGACCTATGTTAACCCTGTCAAGGGTAGATCTTCTTTGTGATGCTTCTCCGGAAATTACAGTCAACAGTTCGAAAGCTTCTTGTCTTCTATATGTTATAACATAACACAGCAATGTTAGGTGCGGCTGTATCACAGAAATAGAGAAACATGTTGTTCTCCACCAGAGATAGCCTAGGATATCTGTACATTAGGATTAATCAGTTATCGACACACCTCATCACTATTTCCATTTGAATTCGTTTTATCTTTAGATGATAGCTATATAAAGACTATCCATTGGAAATACACATTTTAGTGTTATAGACACGTTTTTAAATAGGTCAGTACCATTCAGTGCCAGAAAAATCCACATAAATCCGGAATATCTCTATCTCTCTGATGTGTCCGTTTCTTCCATAATTGTTTCACAAATGCCATGTACATGCATTTATGCTCCGAATCACAAACAAGTATGATTTTTCACTTATTATTTCAAATTAAATAAGACACATTTTAATATTGAATTTTGACTTTTTATCGTGGTAATGAAACGTTCATTTCATTAACATTTTGGCGGATATATCTGTAATTAACAAATAAGGAATTATATGACAATGTTATCGGAATCAGTAAGATGATCAGATAAACTTCAGCAACATCAAAATTAAGATGAAGAAAATGCAGACATCTTGCGATTATTTGCGCTTCTTGACTATATAATATTTTTTCATTAAAACTATGTAATACGGGTGGGCACTTGATTTTCAGGCTGAGACCAAATACATCATTGTAACGATAACACTTTCTCAGGTACGACGCAACACCATTCTTGCATTTGATGTCTTATTCGTTGGTTCTTATTTTTCTGTTTTTTTTCTTATAGGAAAAAAAACTACGAATATAACGTTATAAAGTATTATCATTGTTTTTCACACATGGCCTTTATCGTGTTCTTATTTTTTGTTTCTTTCTTGTTTTATAGATAACAGTACACGTACGTTGTATCGAAGGAATTAGAGAAGTGGTGTTTAAATCAGCAAAAAAATGTGCCTGTTCAATATGCCGACGAGGATGATGACGTCATTAGGAACATTGAGCGCGCACAAGCTTTGCCAGGACACGTGACTGTTATCTGTGATCTCCGACCCGAGAATATCTATTTTCATTAAATTCATATTAAATGCAGAAAGAAATTTGAAAACTATATTTCTAGTTATTATCTGTGTGGTGTTTTGAACACAGATCGTAGATTTGAAGAGTGAATATTTCAAAATTCAAATGAAAAAAGAAAAAAACAAATGTGTGTCGCCTTGTTAATAGGATCAAAGGAATATCGATGGACTGTTTAACACCAAACGGCAAAATAACTTACGGTTTTTATAGATGAATGGCGAAAACAGGGATTTGAAACAATTTCTTCTATCATGATGTGGTTGTCGAACTTTTCCTTTTAAAGTAATCTTTTCCCATGGTTGATTCATGTTTCAAACATAATCATATTAAACCTCATGTAGAAAGACAAAACTATCCGATAATCATAAAGCCGAGTCTTCATAAGATTGTCGGAGTGATGACAAAATAGCTTCAAGGAGACAATATAGAGAAAGCTGTCATTCTCTGACATAAGAGAAATGGTATCGAGGAAGCGGAAGTTGCGCATTGATATGTGCGCTCTAACAACAAAATCTTGTACATTTTTACATTCATCTGCTCATTTTTCCATTATATTTGATGTTATTTTGACCTGTTACTAAGTTATAGTACTACATGTATATTTTTTGAAATAATAAATTAATCTTTCGCATTTCAAATCTTGTTAAATTGAATTCAAAGTGATAGATACGAAATACAACTCAACCTATTAAAATGAAAGATTGAAGACACACACAAATGAATAGCACCTTCTGATAATTCAGAATTAGATCAGTAGAGGAAAACAGTGTTAAAAAGTGGGCCCTAGATTGTTTATGTTGTATGGCGGGAGAATGTGTGTCCTTTCGTGTGATTCCTTATTGTTAGCGATATAAAAATGACTTCATGTTGCCTGTTGGTTCCCTTCTCATTTGAGGACGTGGTATTGGATTGACCATGATGTACATGGCGGGTGTCGTCGATGAAGTAGAAGACGATTACTTGTCTGGAACACCTGGTCTTATTCTCCATGTACGTTTTGAATAGTCTCCGTATAAATCATTCGTTTGTTCATATGTTGCCCCAGTTCTATTGAAAATGAGTTTGGATAATGATTATGTTCTGAATGATGATAACTCACAAATCAAAGAATACAGACAGTATAAACACAACAAGAAAGTACCGACACTTTACCAGAGTCAAAGTCCAAAATACTAGGACAAAAAATGAACAAAAGAAAGATTTGCACGGACATTGTAGTAAAAGTACATGGCGGATCAGACCAGGTGTTCCGAAGTGTAGGCATTATGTGCTAAATCGATGACATCTCCCAAATGTAAAAAAATGTTAACAATAGTCAAACTAACAAGCAGGCGAAACTACGCGTCCATCGTCATACAGAAAGATATATAGAATATTTCTTATGACGAACGTAACACTATAATTTTCAGTCGTGTAGCAGATTAGCTGAAGTATTATACCTCCTTGCGACAACTCGAGTCATATGAGAACGGTTATCTAGAGAAACATAAAACAAAAGAAAAAATAAGCGAACGGAAAAAGTTTGTAAAAGTTCAAATTTGGTCTCTCGAGATCCCCTTAGAAGTCAGAAAAGAGTAAAAACCCGATTCTGCAGAGATATCACAATCGGTTCCGTCTTAAAGTATGAGAAACTGCACACATATTCTCTCTTTTGTGAATTTGAACGCGAGTTTCTTCATAAAGCTGTTTCATCCATCTAGGGCTCGTCAGTGATCATTACTGAAACCTAAGAGACGACAAAGGAAATATAAAAATTGGAGAAAATTAATATCACCAGATAGGAGAGTACACCAAAATTCAATAAATGTAATAAATTTCGAAAGAAATAATTTCAGAACCTCGAGCACATGTGTATATTTTGAACTGTCGTCGATGACCAGAATTTCTACACGAACCTTATTAGCACGGCGAAGATCTTAAAAAAGACACACAAGTGAATAACACTTTACAATATATAGTTAGAATTAGGTTGAGTAGTGCCAGATAATGAATTGACATCGTGATTTTCAGGAAATGTTGCCTAGCACACATCGTAAGTATCTTAACAGTGTTTTAACTATAAACTATTTGAGAAACAATTTCACTATTGTGCTGTATAAGCTTTATGGCATTGCCCACGTACGATGTATCGGTTTAATGTATAGACGTTCTGTATCACTTGGACAGATCTTATTGCAGCCCAGGAATCTTGCTATAACATTTTTACCGAATACGTGACAGCTGGATACGTACTGAGTAAAATTACAGACAGATATGTCTGTCATATGAACATGGCGTTATTTCAAACACCAACGCAAACATTTCAACGAAGCTACATGAGCCATCTTTAATGTCTGTCGACACGTTAATACCAGTGCTGTAAATAAGTAATGTACCCCATGTTAGTCTTGCATAAAAGAAGGGCGAAATTTGACTACGATTGTGTTACTATCAAAACATGACTACAGTGATGTCACTAATGCTGCGATTTTATCACCAAAAATGTTTGAAAATTCCCTCTGGTACATCTAGAAATCATTCAAATATACACTCTTCCTAAAACAAACGTCACAACGCATCAACAGCAACGTTCACTTTCTCATAAACCAACTTACGATTGTCAGAGGGAGTCCTTTAACGACTCTGTTTACCAGTCTGGACCGAGTTCATCCCTTTTTCTGAATTCATGAAGTTGAATTTTAATTGCTGCAAAAAATGAAATAAAATAAAAACAGAAAAGACCTAATTTTACATTATAGTTATAAACAGCAAATATTAATATAAGAAATGAACTTCTTTTCTAACGTATCCGCCACAAACATGTCAAAATAACCCAAACTCCAATTCAATAAAACCAAGACTTCTGAAATGTACTAGGAGAATAAAATCAGATGTTCCAGATGAGTAAGCGTCCTCTGCTTCATCGACGAGACCCGCCATGTAAACCTTGGTCAATCCAAGTAAGTAATGTCATGTTCCCAAAAATAAACAAGGTAAGTAAGCAAGTTATCCGTCAGCGTTAATTCATATTGGACCATAAAATAATTACGTGAATTAATTTTGATAGTTGATGAAAACAACAGGTAAATCTAACACCTACTCACACCAATGATAAGCTAGCTAGTGAATGACACGAACAACTGGAAAAATAGGACGTATAAGAGACCTGTATATTCAACGTTGCACAACAATGAAAAGAAAACGTGTCCCTAGGTCCCCGTCTCATGACATAAGGAAATCTAAACTACCATTGAAATTCATAGGTATATTTAAGAAAAACTTGAAGTTTTCTTAAATTTTGTAATGCTTTCATAGGGACAATTCTAAGTTAAGGAAAATTCCTTATGTTAAGGAAGATTAATGGAATTGAGGCCAGAAACGTAAGGGTATTCTGCTTCATCGACGACACCACTCACCATATATACATATTCTAGGTATGAAATGTTAAACCTTCTCTCCACGAGTAATTGATCCCAGGGATTTATGACCGTTATTTCTTGTTCCTTTATAAAATCATACTGTTAGGCATCAGAATGATGACGTCAATAATTCTGAATCGTAGTGAAACATTTTCTCTATTCTATTTTACAAATCAAAGATTGCATCATGATCAAATGTTAAGTCTGTCATTATACAATATCTTTGGTCTTTATCACGCTTTCCAAATCAAACGACATTAAGAGACTCACAGAAAGGATTTTCGGAAATGCTTTTATCTGATTTTCCCGGTGCACGTCCGACTGTTGTGTATATCCATATGTTGCTTTGTGTAGTAAAGCGATATAGTGCTTATGCTATTTTTCTAAACTGAGACATTGGGAGGCTCGGATCTTGTATGTAACAGGATTTACATTTTAATGTTCAATAGATCTATACACTTACATAAGTGACAATTGATGTGTAGTATCAACTAACCACGACAAGTCTGAACAAACAGATCGTTGACATCCGTCTGTTGATCACCAGCTACGCTTTGTATTATAAGTCCTTTCTGTCATTTAGCCTGACATTGTCAGCTGAAAAGTTCCCTCAGCTTATTTTGTTTATTAGATATGTTTAATGATCTAAAAAGTATTTCCCTTATGCCTTAACGGAGAATAAGGTATATAATATATATCAAGCACTGACAGTATAAAAGTCACACTTTCATTGGACTATGTAACAACGTGAAAAGAAATTAATGGAACACATCAGACATTGTTACGTTTTTAGGTAATATATTGATGTTAAAGTAGATTTTATATTCAAGGGCCATTTTATCACCGTGACATACAGACATATTCTGACTATTAACAGACAAACTTACAACACGATGTTTCTAAAGGTGCAGGCTGATGCAGACAATAACCAAGTTTTATGGTCACAGACAACATCCGGAAAGAAAATAATCGTTATCCATTTGAATAAATAAGACTGATATATGTTACACCTTACATCATCACTCTTGATTTACATGATAGGTCTGATCGTCCCTCAAAAATCTGGCACACCTAGCCTTTGACATTTGATATCAAATTGAATTACAGGGCAAAACTATGATATTTTGTCGATCTATTTCGATCTTTCTCAACTACCTCATATGATTCACAATTTAGGACATTAGCAACACTTCTTAGTCCTAGAAACAGCTGTATGATCGAATTTTATTTGTTACTATATTTAGTTCTAGATTTGTATTCAAAGGTGCTGTTATCTTGAGTGTCTTTTATATACTCCATAAAAAAGAAAATACCAACGTGTCATCATAATCCAAACTCAAATTCAATAAAACTAGGGCACAATATGGACAATAGAAAGATTTACACAGATACCAGGTGTTCCGGAAGAGTAAGCGTCCTCTGCTTCTTCGATGACACTTGCCATGTAAACCATAGTCAATCCAACTTAGTAATCCCACATTGGAACAAAGTATAAGACAATAGT